CCCCAAAACCCCAAAACCCCAAAACCCCAAAACCCCAGTGAGCTTCAATAAAGTAACATTAGGCAAGAACAAATTAATTAATTAAGATAATAAATAGATTTATACTTTCTTCAGCTGGAGTCCTCAGCTCCATCATCTTCCTCTTCATCCTCCTCATCATCATCTTCGAGGTCTTCATTTTATTACTCATCTTCTTTTTATTCAGCCTCCTCTTCATTTTTATTTTTATCTTTGTCATCCTCTTCCTCAGTTTTAGGTGGGAACTCAAAGTAAGGGATGTTACCTCTTTGCCAGTCCATAATGATTGTCTTACTTACATTATTGATATCAGGCTCCCCACCCTTAAGCAGTTTACCGGATCTATGAGCGACTTGATTAATGAAATCTTCTGAATCTTTCCAATCAAGAACACCATATATATCAACGATGTGTTTCTTCTCAGTCTTCTCGAGAATGGCTTCAATATAAACCTCTGGGTCTGGAACCTTTTCGGCTCTTACGACTGCCTTCAAAACCTTGTCAGTCAAACTTTCACCTGGGTCATACACAATACCTGGGCAATCAATCAGATAGATTCTCTTTGTTAAGGAAATGTATTGCCACACCTTGGTCTCTCCTGGAATTGGGGCGACCTTGCACACCTGCTTCTTCTTGAGTGTGTTGATGACTGATGATTTACCCACATTGGGATAACCGATGAAACCCACACTGATATTTTTCTTATCCTTGTGCAATATATCAAACTGCTTGAGTAGTTGAATAAGAGTGCCTTTACCAAAGGGATTGTTGACTGAAGCTTAGAAAGCTAGAGTTGGGTTAACCTTTGAAAGGTACTTAACCCATTTTTATGTTACTGATGTAGGAATTAAATCGCACTTGTTAAGTACGAAAATCAAATGCTTGCTTGGGCAGTTCTTCTTCAAGTAATCCTCAAGGAACTTTGATCTAGTTCCGTTGGGGTTTCTTGAATCAAGTACGTGAATAAGTACATCTGAACTGTCAATAACCTTATACAACTCTTCCCAAATTCTTTTACTCATACCCTTATCAAAGACCTTGTGTCTATGAGCTTCCCTTGTGTCTGAAATCACATGCTTTAAAAGATCATTGTCCTTAGTCTCATCGTAATTTCCCTGCTTGCTTTATATTTCTTTAACCATTGATTCTAAGTCAGTAATGCCAACATTTGGTCTCTTTCTCTTCATCTTGGGCCCGAAGGTGTCCTCATGCTTTTCAATTTGAAGTAATCTTTCTCCCTTGCTCAAAGTCTTGTCATAAGTCTCCTTGACTAGACTGAGTGGCAACTTCTTGCCTTTGACAAGCACTGAATAACCAGTACCTTTTTTCGTTTGATTATCTTCAAGAGATTTTCTATATTTGTCCAATTCCTTCTGATCTACAGTTCTAACATTACCAAACCATCTTCTGTCTGGCTGGATTCTACCTGCTTGTGGATCTTTAGGTCTTTCTCTCATCTTTTCCAAGTCTGGTTTAGCCACATACATATTAAGTCTATTGATAGTGGCACGAGTTCTGAACCTACTTCCAGGCTTTCCTCCTGAGGGATCAGGTCTATATGGATTGGTGGATGCCGTAGACTTATGCTTAAAAGAAGTTCCTGTATTTGCAGACATCTTGGCCTTCTTGGCTCTGTTCATGACTCCCATTTGCTCAGTCTTTCCTGTCTTGTGTCTTTTTACCATTCCTTTCTACAATAATATATACCTATTTAGTATTTATAATTTCTAAAATCATCCTTATATACTATCAATCAATCAATGGGGTTTTGGGGTTTTGGGGAGATCGGAAGAGCGTCGTG